GGCTTTGGCCGGGGGTGAGGCGGTGGCGGCCGGGGGGCTCCGCGCCGTCCCCCCGCCGAGGTGCGGCGGTGCCCGGCGGGGGAGGCCCTGCAGCCCCCGGGGCCTGGTGCTTTCTCAGGGGCGATGGCGGCCTCCTCGCCCCCAGAGCGGGACCCTGTGGGGCCGCCGGTGGTGCCGCCGGTGCCTCATCCTGCCCCAGACCAGCGGCGGGGGGGATATTGATGTAAACTTCTGTCACGCTTAGTCCTTAGGAGAGGACTTGTATTTTGGGGGTCTGCTGTGCTTAAGGAGCGACATAGCAGGGCAAGGGGGGGCAGTTCCCAAAGGTAATTTTTTTCCTAAAAGCTTAATCTCTAAATGTGCCATCGTGTTGTGACCTCCTGTAATAAATCTGTGTCAAAACCTGATCTCCTTGGTCCTGATCTCCTGTTCTGCATAAACCACCTGGATTTCCAATTCACGATGCGATGCAAACGTCTAGCTAAGAGTCAGAAATGCCTGGTTCCTGGTTCTTCCTTGTCAGCAGGGCGGCTCAGTAAATAATCTCTTTCTTCAGTATTTGAAGTATAAAATGTCGCTAATGACAGCTGCAGATAGCCCTTTATCTGGGTAGGTTACGCAAGATGAGCAAGCAGAGCCGGGGGTTGTTTCGCGGATGAACAGTGCTAAGATTTCCTTTGTTGGTACGAACAGTCACTCTGCAGACAGTGAATCTGCAGGTATCCGAGATTTCTTGACAGCTGGCTCGAGCTTTGGTACGAAACCAGACAGTTGTTTTAAGCAGGGAAACCCCGGTAAATGTGTTCTGTAGAAGGCAGAGACACTGGGATTGGCAGGAATTTAAGCAACTGAAAGTAGGTTGCAGCTACCGTGGAATTGTTCTGACATGTTTGGGTACTGTTCCTCCATGGTGGTGCTTGGGAAAGACAGGCTGCAGGACTTGTTTCAAGGTACCTTCTTCTCCCATCGTACACGTTGCGTTTTGACGAGCACAGATGAGGTTTCTGGCAGTGCTTTTATTCAATTCCTGGTTTCCTGAGCTGCACATGAGAGCTGTGTGCGCCATCTAAAGCTCTTAGGGCAGGGTCGTGGGCAGGCAGGGATTGAACGCTTCCTTCTGAACAGGCACAACTTGAACCTTTTCTAGTGCATTCAGTCAGGGCTGAGAGGTGAAAATGAGGTTTTCCCTGTTTTGTTCCAAAAGGGAAACCCGAGGTGGGAAAATGATCAGCATCCCAGTGGCGGGAAGTTTAAAGGTGTGGTTTTAGTGTGGAGTGGAGGGGTGGTCCCATGGAATGTGCTAAAACCATCCACATCCTCAAGACTGCACTCAACATAGCGTGCTCCAGAACGGTTCCCTGGTTAGCTGAAACTGGCGAAGATGAAGGGCTCTGGACTTAATTTTAAAACAATGTTTTGTTCATTAGGTTTTCTGGGAAACCTCTTCTGGGAAAGAGATAAGAAATCAAGGAAGGTGAACTAGCAAACCTGGCATTGATACTTTTAATTTATTTTTTTTTATTTTAAATTGGACCATCTAATGCATTTGGGAAAAGGGCTCAGTTTTGAGGAAGGAACTCCAAGCCTGAAAGCGTCCCAGTTTTAAGTGTTAGTCAAGGGTACTCCCCTCTTGTTACTTGTCTTGTAAATCAGCGTATGTTACGTGATACTATTTTACTTCTTGGTGAAGGTGCATGAGATTGCTCAGTTGTTTGTTCAGCATCTCTTCACGGGTTATTGGGATCCTTGTTAAAACCACGGTTATAACGAATATGCAAATAACTATTCCTTCCCCTTCCAGTTTTGCTTTGCTCCTCCAGTTCAGTTTATAGTTCCAAAGAGTGCTGGAAAAACAATGTTATAAAATTATCCTTGAGGTTTGTCTTCTGCCAAGGCAAGGTGCTAGGCAAGCTTTGCAGCTCCCGAGATAAGTGTTGCTGATATGGCTTGTTCATTTATCCTTTTTTTTTCCCCCTCTCTTCATTTCTCCCCACTGTCAGTGATTCAGACCAGGTAACACTGGGAATTCTTTAAAATCTCCTCACAGTGTGAAAACAACAAAGTGTAGCAACCGTGCTGCTGGAGTCCTTAACTTCAAGTTCATCAGATTTTTCCACTTCTTGTTTGTAATCATGTGGGCTTTTCATCTCTGCTGTATTTCCAGCCAAGAGTAATATTTTGGGTCCTGAGCTGTGTTGTTAATATCACTTGTCGTCTTCTTTCTTTAACAGCCACAAATGAGGTTACTTAAACAACGCTTATGAAACACAGACTCTTTTAATCTCCTGTTTTATAGCTGTATGGTACTGAGACGTGTTTCAACTCTTTTATATAGCCATGGGCCACCATGAGAGAGTTTATTGTGCTATAAGCATGCAGCTATGAAATCCCCCGTGCTCAGATATACGACCTGAGTGGAACAGTGTGTTCTTACATTTGGTACAGTCTTATGGGAGTTGTGTGGCTCATATTGTTAAAAATCTACCTATCAAATGGTAAATTCCTCAGAGCCTGAAGACTGGGTATCTGTGTTACAGATCATTTAAGTCTAATTCCCTCTTGCCCAGCTTCATTTACAACAGCAATCCTATTTTTAATGTTTGATAAGTAGTACAGTAACTAAATGTTAGATTCAGATCAGCGGAGTATGGGTAGCGTGAAGCCCTTAGACACCATTTGCTAACTACTTGTGTCTTGGGCTGCAGCACCCTTTGGCTTTTCATCTCTTTCATGCAAACAAGCTAATTAGATTTGTATCTTTTCATGCCATGTGTTTGTGTTTGGCAAGAGGGAGTCAGTCCAGATCCCCGTGTTTGTTTTCCCACCCTACCTGCTGGGTGAGCACAGAACGCCCAGTTTCGAGGGGGGGAACGTGTGGCTTTACCAGTCTGCTCGGGTCCATGGGGTGCAGAGTACTCATGGTACACAGGAGCAGTTATGTATGGAGAGCATGTAGGAGTTACTGGGAGTTTTTATCTATTGCTATAGGACTCTGCATCATTCAGAGCTGCTACACGATCCTATCCATGTGTTTCCTTCTCCTGCCCGTTGCTTTGCTCGATTACCTACGATACCACAGCACAGCCGCTCAACAATGGGTCAGAACTGTGCCAGCTTATGTGACTGGCTCCTGATTTAGGTCTGTGTTGGTCTCTTTGAACCTTGAAGATGGATATCATAATCTCTAATATACAAAACATGCTAATTTATCTTCTTAAAATCCGTGAGAGCAAATCTGACGTGTAACTGAAAGGAGCTCTCCTTTCTTGTTCTAGGAAGACACCCCGCCACGGGTGAGCGGTGGTGAAAATGGGGGATACAAGAGACATCTGTCCTCACCTGGATTCCATAGGAGAGGTGACCAGGGATGATCTGCTGCTCAAATCCAAGGTATGGGGTGTTCTGGTCATCAGTCCTTCCCCTTTTAGCTAGTGTGCATGGGTTTGCATGTTTGTTTTTCAAAGAAAATGCTGCCTGTCTCCATAGATGAGAGGCAGAAACTCTTCTTCCATTGCTGCTGTACACTGCACAGGTCCATAAAATAAGCCTTTGCCCGCCCCATCTGATCTATTTCTCACTTTCATTTTATCCTCTTTAAATGTGTCACTTAGCTAAAATGCTGCAAAGTGTATATTTTCTTGGAAGTGTGATATTAAGAAATGAAATACTGTGAGCTGCAGGTTGGCGAGGCCTGTCTTATAGAGAGTTTTCCCACTCTTGAAGAACCAGGTTATTTAAAAACCAAACATGCAAACAAACCTTCTTTTATCATGAATATGCAGGGAACTTGCCAGTCTTGTGGAGCTGTGGGACCAAATCTCTGGGCTTGTCTTCAGGTAACAATGGCTTGCTATTTGTGTGCATGATATGGTGGGACTTCTCTGTAATATAAACTAAAAAAGAATAAATAAAGTATTTTACTAAAAAAAAAAAAAGAGTGGGAAGCAAGGAGGGGGTTCACAGTGGAACTATCCACCATTGTGGAAAGCAAAGAGGGGGTTCACAGTGGAACTATCCACCATTTTTTGATGGATTTCAAGGAAAAGACTCCCTAGATTAAAGGCTAACACTGTCAGAATGTGCCAAGATGTAACAGTTCATTCCTCGTAGGTGATTGTCCCCTGGTAGTCCCAACAGGAATGAATAAAATGCTCAGCATTTACTGTTGGCTGGGTCCTGCCTCTGCTGGCAACTGGGAAGGGAGGCTGCAAGTGTGAGCCCTCAGAAAGCACTGCTCAGGGCCACGAGGCAGGGAGGAATGATGAGGGGCATGCGGGCGGGCATGGGCAGTTTATTTTTACACTGGAATGCCCAGATGTTTTGAGACTGCTCAAATGAGCTGCCCATTGGAGCAATTGCCTTGGAATAGAGCCTTTATGTGGGTTCCAGAAAACTTGGTTCCAGGTTTGCTTTCTTAAGTCAAACAACTCCAATTTTCCATCTTATCCTGGGCCCTGAACAAAAAGGCAGGTTAAAAAACTGGCAAGATCAATTCTGAAGTTGCAGCTGCTGGTGGGACTGGAATTGCAGGCTCTTTTGTGAAGGGTCTAATTTGTTGTGCCCGTTGTGCTTTTGCTCTTTTCTCTCACTAGATCGGGTGTCCTTATGTCGGTTGTGGGGAGTCCTTTGCTGACCACAGCACGCTTCATGCACAGGTGAGCTTTTCTCTGTTGTCCACATTAAGACAGACAGAGTTGTATTCTTCCCACTACCTAATCCTCCTCTGCCCAGTTCGGGTAGTCCTCAGTCAGCCTGAGCCAGCTGTCAAATTAGATTCATTATTTCACCTTTTTTGTATTTTTTTTTAGGCCAAAAAGCACAACCTGACGGTGAATCTGACCACTTTCCGCGTCTGGTGTTACGCTTGCCTCTGTTGTCCACATTAAGACAGAGTTGTATTCTTCCCACTACCTAATCCTCCTCTGCCCAGTTCGGGTAGTCCTCAGTCAGCCTGAGCCAGCTGTCAAATTAGATTCATTATTTCACCTTTTTTGTATTTTTTTTTAGGCCAAAAAGCACAACCTGACGGTGAATCTGACCACTTTCCGCGTCTGGTGTTACGCTTGTGAAAAGGAGGTGTTCTTGGACCAGCGGCTGGCAGCGCACACGCAGTCACCCCCAGTAAAGTTCTCTGAACCGGTGGGTCTGCGTCGCAACGCGGCAGGGTGGGGTGGGGATGCTCCCCAGGGATTTTCTTTACCTGTTGCAAAATTAGCCAAGAGGATTCTGTTATCGTCCAGGCTATTGTGATAGGAACTCTTCCACTGGAAACAGCTACCTGTAATCAGAGGGCCACTAGCCTTGCTTTACTCCCAGCAAGAAGACTTCCAGACCACTTGAATATCCATTTTGACTTTTTTTTTAACCTCATCTAGCCTCTTCCGTGGGGTGTCTGTTTGTAGGAGGACCCACAGCTGTCACATCTTCATTTTCAGTGCACGGCCCACGGAGGTTTTAGCTGTCAGACCAGAAACACGTGTACTTGTGACACTGCTGCATGTGCCTGGTGCCTCTCCTCCCATGTGTCCTGGAAGCAGTAATAGTAGTTTCCACTCTCTCCTTGCATTAGTGAAAAGGAGAGACAGTGCAACTGGTTCTTCTCTCTCCAGTGTTTTTTTTTTTTTTAAAGGGTGGCTCAATTTATAAGATAATTCCTCTCCCAACTAATCTTTTAAAGCAGGCCTCTCGCTGATGCTTATTTCTCTCTCTTTAATCTAGGATTCTCCACTGCCTGCTCACCCTTTGAAAGCTGTTCCGATTGCAGTGGCTGATGAAGGCGAATCTGAATCAGAGGATGATGATTTGAAACCAAGAGGTAAGTCTGCACCCAGCTGATGAAAGGGCTGGGAGGGTAACTCTGCAATCTGCAGGATCTGCTCGGGGAGGCTCCTAGGAGCAGAGTGCGGAGATTCCCTAGGAAGGGCTAAATTCCTTCTCCTTTGGGGTGGAATGTAGAAAGCAGCTCATCTGGACAGTGTTTCACACCTCTCTTGTTTGTGCTTTAGGCCTTACTGGAATGAAAAATCTTGGGAACTCCTGCTACATGAATGCGGCACTTCAGGCTCTCTCTAACTGGTAGGCACTGGGGTCTTTCAGTAGAGGCTTTACTGGACTTCACTAAGTATCAAAAGTGGCACCTCTAATCTGACACATTCCCAAGTCTTACAAAGAGAAATCAGCCAGGCTGGGTGCAGAGAAAATTACTGTTTGTTCAGGGGAACAGAAGTTTGCCAATAGGAAATGGAGTGAGAAGCCAACTTGTGGCTACGTACACAAGATTCATGTTTAGATGAGCGCTGGAAGTAAAACTTCATCCTTTCTATTGTGACAGAAATGTATGTATAGTTTGGGAAGGCATGTCACATCTCTTTATTCTCCCCAGTGATATCGTTCCAAACAACCCATAGCCTAAAATATTCCCCTGCCACCCTGCTGAGAACTAATTCCAGGGTTTCTTCTCTGTACTGGGAGCAGATTCAGACCAGCCTTTTCCATTTGTTTCAAGTTAGGAGACAAGTCTGTGCCTGGAATAACTTTTCTCCATCGATTTAAAACAGTATTTTAAGCATGCTTTTGAAAAGGCACGCAATTAAGTTTTGATCAATAAATAAAAGCAGAGGAGAGGTGTCTGTGTGCTGAATTCTTCTTTCTGTTTTTTTCTCATAGCCCACCTCTCACACAGTTTTTTCTGGAATGTGGTGGACTGGTCCGGACCGATAAGAAACCAGCGCTGTGCAAAAGTTACCAGAAGTTGGTGTCTGAGGTTTGGCATAAGAAGCGGTGAGTGGTCACTCCCTAAATCTCACCCTGACCGGTTTCATGCTCAGGTTAGTTCTGAAGTCTGGCATCATTGGCAAAGAGGAAAATTGATCTTCAGGGATAAGTGCGTTGTCTGAGGCAGGGAGTTCAAACCCTGCGTGGGTGGGTATGGGAGGATTCCATGGAGGAGATCCCATATCCTGCTGCCTGTGATAAAATGGCCATATTGATGTCAGCAAAAAGTATGTTCTTAATATTAAAACTTTAAAAAGGAAGAGGTTTTTTTTTGTATATATATTTTCCCTATTGGCAATGAAGGAAAAATGATGGAGTAAGGGAATACTCTTGGCCGTTTCTGAGTATTTTGCATGGACTGACCAGCACTTAATTGCACTGCTTTTGATTAGCAGAGAGATTGATGATTTGGGTGGAAAAAGCGATACAGAGATTTTTTTGCCAAAGAGAATGGAAAATGCAGATGACCTTTTGGGAAATGTTTGCTATTGGTTGAAATTCTAGACCAGTTCAAAGGAAAGTATAAAATAATGCAACTATGCTTAAATCTGAAGATATCTGCTTGGAAAAAAAAAAATCAAACTAGGAATTTAAATGGCATTGCATGTTTGTTTCATGTTAGTTGTTAACAAGGGATAAGCAAGATAAAGAGCAAAAGTGAACTGTGCCTTTCTGGAAGAGAAGGCAGTAGACTTTGAAGCAATATAATTTTAATATTGGCTTTGATTTACCTCATTTACTGGGTGGTCAGCCCACACAGATTTTGAGACAGACACAGGGCTGTGAAATCAAACCCAGTGACTAATTGCAAAACCCTGCTCTGGAAAGGATCACTTGAGACAGTTTGAAGTGTGGACGGAGCTTTAAGTTAAACGTGCTCTAGGGAAGAGTCTCTCTTGAAGGAGAGACTGAAATGACTTTGAGAGGTATTCTGTCTCTTAATTTGTCTGTCATTCAGCTAATAGAGAAATATACCCCCAGTCTTTGCAGGTGCATAATTATCTTTTGTCCTCTTTAACAAGTTACCACACCCTGTTCTATGGCATATTAGACAAACTGGCTCCAGGCCTGATAAGCAAACTAACTGCCTTTTTTCTTTCTTTCTTTTTTTTTTTTTTTCCATATCTAAACAGCCCGAGTTATGTTGTTCCAAGCAGTCTGTCCCATGGAATTAAACTCGTCAACCCCATGTTCCGAGGCTACGCACAGCAGGTGGGGCCTCCACAAAAACATGCCATTATGCCAAAAATGGTGGGATTTTATTTCCTGCAGCGCTGGTGCATGCATTCAGAAGGATGAGTGTGAGCTCAGGGGTCATGCCTGTTTCGTGTCTGACAGAGCTCTTGGGTGGGATTTAGGAGACCTTGGTTCTCCTCCAGGTTCTGCCTCTGGCTTGCTGGTACCAAATCAGTGCCTTTTCCTGTGTCAGCTTTCTCACCTCTGAAATTATGGTCACCTCCTTTATAAAGGAATTTGATGTCTATTGGTACATGCTATATGGGAGCTAAATATTACTTATTCAAATGAAAGCTGAGAAACCTGGATAAATCTGTACTAAAAAGTTAAAGATAGGAATGTTCTCTATTCTTTTTCTGGTGAATTACAGCAAATTAAATCTTATTTGGAGATAGTATCCTTTTTTTAATCTGTGAAGTTTTTATCAGCATAGCTCTTGTGTTTATTCTTCAGAATAGAATGTAAACATCAAACCATGGTTATAAAATTTACAAGAGAAGTGACAGTACATCTAAACTGTGATACTGACAGGAAATCAAAACAGAGGATAAAAATAATGATTAATGAAAGAACTTCTATATTTACCTTTGATGTGAAGTACGTTGGATTGGAGAACTCTGCTGTAAAGAGATAACGTTGAAGAGAAGACAGGGCAGGCTAAAAGCCAAACTCCCATAAAATAACAGAAAGATAATTAACTTTCTGGAGTTGTCAAAATACCAAGTTGCTTTCCAGAAGGTCCTTTGAAGCTGATGTATCAGTTCTTTTACCATGTATTATGAATGTAGGAGCTTGCACCTAGACTGTATTGTCTTTGCATTCTGGTTCCATTCCCTATTTATTAAAGATTTTAATCTGCCCTCTCTAAGAGAGGGATTGCCATGAGCAGAAGTCAGTGCTCATGACATTTGTTTTGTGGGCAAGAATCTGGTCTCCATGGCCTGCTGTCCTCATTAGGCTTCTCCTTGTCTCTCACCTCTTATCAGTGGCAAACCCCTGATAAATAAGCTCATGTTTTGCGTGCTGCGGCTGCTCTCTGGCTTTTCAGTGTCATTCAGCTGAAGATGTTTAGATAAAAATTTGGTCTTTTATCATTTAGGAGTTAAAAACATTTATGTAGCAGACAGGCCTCTTGGTACATTGCCACGGTGCTCTCTGTGCTGTAGGGTCCCTCTGTGTTGCCAAAGTGGCTGAACTTTGTGGGCAGTGTTTATAGAGGCTGTGAATGGAGCCACCTCCTCTTTTCTCCCTCTCATTTCCCCCGTGTCTGGATGGGTAATAACATGGAATCACTCCTGGTTTTCAGGACACTCAGGAGTTCCTGCGGTGCCTGATGGATCAGCTTCATGAGGAACTGAAGGAACCAGTTGTTGCAGAGACGAGGGATTTGGATACCAGTGACCAGGATGACAAGCGCGAGGGGGACCGGAGTCCTTCAGAGGATGAGTTCCTTTCTTGTGACTCCAGCAGTGACAGGGGTGAAGATGGCCAGAGCCGCCCCACAGGCAGCATGGGCAGCAGCTCCCTGGCAGAGACAGAGCTGCTGATCCAGGATGAAGCAGGGAGAGGGATTTCTGAGAAAGAGAGGATGAAGGACAGGAAGTTCTCCTGTGGCCATCGGCGCAGCAACTCGGAGCAGGTGGATGAGGATGCAGATGTTGATACCACTATGATGCCAGTTGATGGCAGAGCCTCACCTGAGATGCTACCAACTCCCCGTCCTGCCAGCCCATGTAGGACACCAGGTATAAACCCCTTCCAGCCCTGGTAGCTGTGAGAAGACATGGTGTCATCCTACACAGTGCTGTAGTGCAGTGGCAAACAACAAATAATATGACTTTCCTTCTGTGGGTTGCAAAAGATTTTTGCATCCAAGATTTTCTTCAGCATCCCTGGCAGTAGTTCTGCCTTTGTGGACAATTCCTTTGGGAAGCAAACATAGTACATAAGCCAGAGAGGTGCTTGGCCAGGCTAAAGTACTAAAGAGCTGAGTACAGACCACATCCTGAAGGCAGTGACAGCTGCCTCTGCCAAGCTGTAAATGCTGTATTTATGCCTTTTCCTAATTTAAGAAAAAAAGAAGGTTTTCTATGTGTACATTGCTTTATTTGATAGGCTGGCCTGGGGTGATAGATGTGGAAGATTATATTTGTTAATGCTGGACTGTGGGCTTTGTGGAGAGAAAAAGGAGATGCACAGTTTGTGCATTTCTGTGTCTCAGGGAAGAGAAAAGAGCAGCAGTTCAGATGTAGGTGTGGAGTCACCTCAGGCTGAACACATCCCTTCTTTCAACACTTCTTTATGTAAGAGTCCTACTCTGCCAACTGGCACTGAAGACAGCGATGCTGTTTATGTGCATTAGGGATACAGGAGCAAGCTGTAAAAACCTAATTAGTCATAAGTGTGAAAAAATGGTGGGGTGTTGCTTTTTTTTTTTATATGTGATTATTAGCTGTTGGGTATAGCTCTGTGTGCACTCCTCTCCACACACTGAGGGAGCTGTATCTGCCAATCTGTGCAAGAAGGACTGTTAATAGACACTGAATTGTGCATAGCAGGGAGGATTCTGTGCTGGAACCAGGGCTGGGCTGACACTGGTTGCAGTAGGGTTACCTTCCATAACTGGGATTTTCACCAGTGCCCTTTTTCCTCCCTGTTTTCCCAAACAGAACCCGACAACGATGCCTACGTGCGCTGCTCCTCACGCCCCTGCAGTCCTGTCCATCATGAAATGCACTCCAAGCTCTCCAGCAGCCCTCCTCGCTCCAGTCCTGCCAGGCTTGGACCTTCCTACGTACTCAAGAAAGGTAGCACAAAGAGCATGTGCTGGGAGGCAAACTGGGGAGAAGGGGTTCATTTACAGAAGAGAGAAGGAATCCGTCATGGTTCTTGATTAACAGTTGTAAGAGGTGCTCATTCCCCTGGACATCAGTGCTATCTAAAGTAGTACTAGGCACTAGTAAACCTGCAGGTAAAACCAAGCTCTGGGCACAACAGATGTTCTAGTTTGCTCTTGTATTGGAGCCTGAAACGATTTCCGTGTCTGCGTCTGCATGTTGTGTTTGTTATTAATGAAATGGCTGTGAAGTCCCAGGCACAAGCTCTGTCCCTTTAGGGGAGTGTGGAGATGTGTAAACATTTGGCTGCCAGACTTGAATTTGATAGCATGTGGGCCAGAGGACTGTAAAAGATGATGTTACTGAGAGAGAGCTTCCTGCCTCTCAGACATCATGGGCTCACAATAATAGCATTAAGGCTGCAGATGTCAGTCCAGTGCTGGGAGCAGTGTTAGGCTTCAGAGGGGAGCCTGGCTCCTGTTGTTATCATCCCAAGCAAATTGCAAATCGAAATCCCTCAGCATTGCATAGTCTGAAAGCACAATGGTGTGTGCTTACACCGCTGTCCCTACAGCTGCTCCATGATGGCATTCTTTCCTCCGCTGTGTCCCGGCCCCTTGGCTGAGCTCAGCGCAGCCACAGATGTTCTGGCTGGATAAAAGCACTCTGTCTCCATGCACGTGTGCGTGGGGAAGAGGGTTTGTTATTAAACAAAACTGTGTGTTTGGCCAGTCCCTGCTCTGGCGAGTCACCTCCAGCGCAAGACACCTGGGGAACATGTGGTAAACGCCACTGTGCCTGGTCCCTTGGCTGAGCTCAGCGCAGCCACAGATGTTCTGGCTGGATAAAAGCACTCTGTCTCCATGCACGTGTGCGTGGGGAAGAGGGTTTGTTATTAAACAAAACTGTGTGTTTGGCCAGTCCCTGCTCTGGCGAGTCACCTCCAGCGCAAGACACCTGGGGAACATGTGGTAAACGTCATAGTGGGGGAAAAAAAAAGGGGACAAAGTAGGCAGGTGAGGAGGGAGAGGAAGTAGAGTGTAAAGCTTAGAGCAAAGTGTTGCAAGACCTCAGAAAAGCAAGGACTCTCTGTGGCAGGGCCAGGCTTCAGAACATGTAGTAAGAGGATGGAAAGAGGATTTCCAGTAAGGCAATTTCTGCCCGCTGAGAGCTGGCACGTCTGTGTTGGCTCACTTGGCTGCCTCCCCTTTCTTGTACCGCCCGGCGCAGCGCTGGTGTGTGTCCCTTTACAGCGGGCTCTGCTGTCTCACTGACACACAAGTGGCATGAGGGAGAGGAAGTAGAGTGTAAAGCTTAGAGCAAAGTGTTGCAAGACCTCAGAAAAGCAAGGACTCTCTGTGGCAGGGCCAGGCTTCAGAACATGTAGTAAGAGGATGGAAAGAGGATTTCCAGTAAGGCAATTTCTGCCCGCTGAGAGCTGGCACGTCTGTGTTGGCTCACTTGGCTGCCTCCCCTTTCTTGTACCGCCCGGCGCAGCGCTGGTGTGTGTCCCTTTACAGCGGGCTCTGCTGTCTCACTGACACACAAGTGGCATCTGAACGTGCAGGACAGCACTGGTCCTGTCTTCTTCTACTGAGACAGGAGCCTGGGAAGGAGTTGCTACACGATGGGTCTCCCTTGTCTGTCTTTCAGCCCAGATGCAGGCTTCTGGGAAAAAGAAGAAAGAACTTCGTTACCGCAGTGTGATTTCTGACATCTTCGATGGCTCCATTCTCAGCCTGGTGCAGTGCCTCACCTGTGACAGGGTGAGTCTCCTGCTGGCTGGTAGATCTCTGCTTGGGAAGTGGTGCTTCTGTTTCCAAACACCCTGGGATGCAGTAGGGCCTGCTAAAATGGGAGGTGGATGGGAGAAACCTGCCATGCCAAGTTGTATTTCTCTGTAGGGGTCTGTTTGCTTATCACTGTTACTGAGTTGGCCTAAATGTATCCCATTCACATTAGAAAACTGATTCCAATGCTACAAAACCCATGACAAAAGTCATCCTGCTGACAGCAGTAAAGTGTAATCAGCCAGAGTGAGTTGTTCTTACCACCAGCTCCGGTTTCCAGCCTAGACAAAATTCAGGCAGTGATAAAAGGTGATGAAGGTCAGGTCCCAGCTCCATTACATGCTCAGGAAACCCAGACCTCTTCCTCTTGGATATTTCCAGATTTCTACAACGGTGGAGACATTCCAGGACCTGTCACTCCCAATCCCAGGGAAGGAGGACTTGGCCAAGCTGCATTCAGCCATCTACCAAAACGTGCCAGCGAAGACGGGGACGTGTGGGGACAACTACGCCTCACAGGGCTGGATTGCTTTCATCATGGAGTACATCCGGAGGTGGGTTCCCTGTGCAGGACCTCTTTTTTTCTGGGGTTTGCCCAGCCGTGCAGGAAGGCAGCTGTCCCTGACCAGTGGTGTTCTCAGCAGAATGTCAATTGGAACCATTCCTTGGACAACAGCGTGTGGTACCTCACAGATCTTTGAGCCATTTCATGTAAATCAGCTGCTGCTGTTCCTCCAGGTCTGTCATAGACCTTGAGATCTCTTGTGCAGCTGAGAATATCTCACTCAGTTCTGCCTATAGCTCAGTCTTGCCTTCAAGAGCAAATTAATTCCTGGTGTAGTTTTCCCAAATCATTTCCAGTTTGAGCAATCTCAGTGGGAACATCAGCTGAGAGAAATGGTGCTTTCCCTGCTCCTCTGGGATGTGTGATGAGCTCAGGCCCTACAGCCAGAAGGAAACCCATCACCCCTTTGGGGTTTTGTATACCAAAGCATCCAGCTATTTTATGTCTAACTCTCTCTCTTAATCCCCTCTCTGCTGCAGATTTGTGGTGTCCTGTATCCCCAGCTGGTTTTGGGGTCCTGTTGTGACGCTGGAGGATTGTCTTGCTGCCTTTTTTGCAGCAGATGAGTTGAAGGGTGAGTTTTCTTATAGTAGGGTCTGACAGCACCAAACAAGGGAAAATGCCTGGAGGGGTACTTCATGTGAATTTTGGGGGCAGATTAAATCTTCTGGAAAGCCACAGGATTTCACTTAGAGAGAAGTGTTTGGTTTGATCTCTTCTCACCCTGGCTTCCCCAAGAGGTTGCTTAACTTGGTTTCTCTGGATGGAAAAGTAGCCACAGCATTGTGTGCTCTGAGTAACTGCATAATGGCTTTCTCCTCTTTGTCTACAGGGGACAACATGTACAGCTGTGAACGGTGTAAAAAGTAAGTTTGTGTTATGTGTATCGTGTTGTATTTCTGGAATTTCATTCCCCTGTGCTGCTGTCAAATGTTCTGCTCTGCCCTTTGCCTGGACGTTTCTTCTGCTGAGTGACATGTGAGATCTGCCTTGCCTCATACCAGACCTCTGGTCTTGAGGGGTCACTGATCACAGACAGGAAAAGTGCTGGCTTTGGGGGGAAAGAAAGGAAAAAGGATCCAAGAGGGATGTGGCTTGGCAGTAATGGAGCTATTGTATTAGAAAGAGGAGGCACTGCAAACTGCTCATGCCTCATTTGGGAATGATGCTGCAAGGAGCCTGAATTTGTTGCTGCTAGAATTCAGGATTTGTCTTGGATTTCAAAGCGAGCAAGACCCTGCCTTGCCTCTTGGTGTCCCTTTGCTTTAGAGGTTGCTCACAGCTGGCTTCTCTTCCTCCCTCAGACTGCGGAATGGAGTAAAATACTGCAAAGTCCTCCGGCTGCCAGAGGTGAGTAAAAGCACTGTGTTTCCTGTTTTTAATTTTAGCAGCTACTGAGGAGTTCAGGAGGCTACAGGTAGAACAGAAATAGCAATTTGTTTTGGTGGCAAAGTCCTGCATCTAGATCAGAAGAGACTCCCCCATCCTAAGCTAAGGAGCCAGCAGGTTTCATGACTAACAGGCAAAGAACTCTTGCAAAGATCAGACACAGATGTGCTGTTTTATCAGAGCACCCACAGCAAAACTGCCCTTCGGTGTTCTCTGGCTTTGGTCTTTTAGATTCTTTGCATCCACTTGAAACGGTTCCGCCACGAGGTGATGTATTCCTTCAAGATCAACAGTCACGTCTCCTTCCCCTTGGAAGGGCTGGATCTGCGACCTTTCCTGGCCAAGGATTGTGTCTCCCAGATCACCACCTATGACCTCCTGTCAGTCATCTGTCACCACGGCACCGCAGGCAGTAAGTCCTTCTTCTGGGAGTATGGGCAGAGGAGAACAGGGGTGAGATGGGTACGAGCAAAGCAGAATTGTGTCCCAGGCCAACACCTCTCTGGGGTGAAATGCCCCCCTGATCCCAGCCCTCACCCTTTGGAAAGGGAACCCAGCAGCTTCTGACAAATCCCCTGCAGCTGCCTCAGCTTCACCACTGGGTTGGCTCAAAGCCTTTTCCAATGTTCAGTCTCACCAAGAGGCCCTTTCCAAGGAAGACAAACCAGGGTGACAGTGCCAGGCTCCCTGCACAGCTTGCCTGAAAAGGAATTATGCCCTTTTTTACTTTATTTTTTTGGCTCTCTCTCTGTTCTCTGCCAGCAGCTAATCCTGTTGCTGCTGCCACCATTATCCCAGGCCTGACTTCTCTCTCCACTCCGAGTTCCAGCCGTGTTGTGTTTTTTGGTTGCAGGTGGGCACTACATAGCCTACTGCCAGAACGTCATCAATGGCCAGTGGTACGAGTTCGATGACCAGTACGTCACCGAAGTCCACGAGACCGTGGTGCAGAACGCCGAAGCCTACGTCTTGTTCTACAGGTGAGCTGTGCCCTGGATGCAGCCGTCCCTTGCTGGTGGCAGAACTGCCAGAAATGCACTTCTCAAACTTCAGTTTTCAAGAATTGCTTAATTTTCTTTTCCTTAAGGAAAAGCAGCGAGGAAGCTGTGCGAGACATTTTTCTTTTCCTTTCCCCGCTTAAGGAAAAGCAGCGAGGAAGCTGTGCGAGAGCGTCAGAAGGTGGTGTCTCTGGCCAGCATGAAGGAGCACAGCTTACTCCAGTTCTACATCTCTCGAGAGTGGCTCAATAAATTCAACACCTTCGCTGAGCCCGGGCCCATCACCAACCACACCTTCCTGTGCTCTCACGGAGGTAAGGCAGCACTGCTGGACCTGGCAACACCCCTCGCAGCTGGACCTTTATTATCCTGGGTCATTAAAAAATGTAAAGAAAAAGCTCCAGCTGCCATCCTGATACGGCGTGGGCTGTAGCAGGACCTGTGTCTTTGGCAGAAGGTCTATCCCTCAGGGAGAGAGGAGACAATTACCCCATTATCCCACTGATTGGAGGCCCAGAGGGATGTGTAGTGCTGGGAAACAACAGTTTTTCAGTTCTCCTGTTGTTTTTAGAAACAAGCAGATAAGATGGCCTTTATCTGCGTTACCCTATCTGCAAAGTTGGTCTTCAGTGTTTGTTTGGAGAACGGAGGATGCGCTACGGAGGAGAGCTGATACCACGATACCACGAGGAGAGCTGATACCACTCCTATCATTCTGCTTCTCCATCTGCCGTGCTGGGCAGCCCTCGTGTTTATAAACCTCCAACTGGAAATAAAACACTTGATTAGAAATTGAGGCCATGAATTGAGAAACCTCCCCCGTTGATGAACTCTTGACTGTCTTCCCTTAGCAGAGGAAGCAGATTCTGGAATCGGGGAGTTTTCAGCAAGGAAGATCTGCCTTTTTTTTACTTGTGTCTTTACCCAGCAATAATAAATTCCCTGGTTAATTCTCCCTCTTGCCTTTTCCTCCACAGGGATCCCTCCTAATAAATACCACTACATCGATGACCTGGTTGTGATTCTGCCCCAGAATGTGTGGGAATATCTCTACAACAGGTGAGTGTGGCCACTTTGTTCTTCCTCCCCATGAGTTCTGGGTTTTGTTTCACCTTTCATGTAGCAACCAAGACAAGGCCTTCCCAGGGCCCCTTTAAGGTGGGCAGTGCTTGGTGCGGACTGGTATTTGATAGAGCCTCCAAATCTAAATCAAAATGAACTATATCAATTGTTCCAGAGCAATATGGTGACCCTCACTGTGTTACTGCAGCACCCTCCATCCAGCTGCAGATGCACTTCCTTCACCAGTGCCTGGAGTAGATAAAAACCCATCTCTCTGTAGGATTCAGGGCTGGGAAGTGTTGCCATTCCCTTCTCCATTCAGCCCTTCTCTGTTCCCCTCCCTCTCTTCCTGGGCTCAGGTTTGGGGGTGGCCCTGCTGTGAACCATCTGTACGTGTGCTCCATTTGCCAAGTGGAGATTGAAGCTCTGGCCAAGCGCAGGAGAATTGAGATCGACACCTTCATCAAGGTTCGTGTGGGAAGCACCTGGAAGCAACAACCAAAGGGCAGAGGTGGGAAGCAGAGACACAGACAGTTAGTGGAAAACTCCTGCCCCTGGTTTCCAGACCTATTTTCCTGATCTACAGCAGGGCCAGGAGACTGATCTTGGGGTTCCCCAGAGCAGACCCCTTTTCCTGATCTACAGTAGGGCCAGGAGACTGATCTTGGGGTTCCCCAGAGCTTGCAGGATGGGGAGGGGCAGATGGAAGAGGATAATGCTGTTCCTGGCTGCAGACATGGAGTTTGAAACCATCCTTGGTTTCAGTCTCTTTCCTGCCCTAGTGAGCAGGAACAGGTTGTGAGGAAGGTGGTAGAATTACAAGGGGTTCACCTGAAGAAGGGCAAAGCTGCCTTACAGGTAGAAGAAGGGGTTCCCCCAGATCTCAGGAGTGACTAAATCCTTCCTGTGTGTCTCTTTTCTCTCCACTCCCAGCTGAACAAGGCTTTCCAGGCAGAGGAGTCTCCAAGTGTCATCTACTGTATCAGCATGCAGTGGTTCCGGGAGTGGGAAGCCTTTGTCAAGGGGAAGGATAACGGTGAGTCCATCAGGGGTGGGAGGTGGAATGGAAACAAGTCTCTTTGGGTTCCTCAGTGAGCTTCGTGCCCGAGTGGTGCGACCTGAGGCTGAATGGGGACACCAGCCACTGCACCCACTGGTCCCCAGGGCAGGGCAGAAATAACATTGGGAAATAAGCTGATCTGGAAAGCAGGATGGGTTTTGACATCTTTGTTCTCCTCTTACAGAGCCTCCTGGACCCATCGACAACAGCAAGATTGCCCTCACGAAAGCAGGAGGCCACGTGCAAGTCAAGCAGGGTGAGGCTTGTGCTTGCTGTCCTGTAGCTCCTTCCCTGCCACACACGGGAGAGGGCTCAGGCAGGCGCTGGCGTGGTGGGCTGTTGTGCTTGGTTCCTCTTGGGGAAAGCAAGAAGTGGGAGGGGCAGTGACAGGATGAGGGGCAATGGCTTCAAGCTGGAGGGGAACAGATTTAGACTGGAGATGAGGAGAGGGTTCTTAACTGTGAGGGTGGTGGAGCACTGGAACAGGTTGCCCAGGGAGGTGGTTGAGGCCCCATCCCTGGAGATATTCAAGGTGAGGCTCGATGAGGCCCTGGGCAACCTGGTCTAGTTGGGGGTGTCCCTGCTGACTGCGGGGGGGTCGGACTAGATGACCTTTGGAGGTCCCTTCCAGCCTGGGCAATTCTATGATTCTATAAGTGACCCCACAGCAGTTGGTGGCAGAGCCCTGGTGGCTTCCAGCAGCAGGTGGCACTACGGAGGGCTGGTGGGGACTGAGTGCAGGGCAGAGCTGGCAGCAGGGTGGGGGCTTCGGTGGGTCTGGACTGTGCAGCTGGAGGAACCACTCCTGCCTCGCTTGTCCTGGGGGTGAGCAGGGCCAGGTGGTTGGAGGGGACACCCTGGGGGTGTGAGGAACCAGCCTGTCCCTGGGGTGGCCGTACAAAGCCCTCCTCACCTCTCACTTCTCCTGCCATCCCTTCCAGGAGCTGACTACGGGCAGATTTCCGAGGAGACGTGGGTTTATTTAAGCACCCTGTATGGAGGGGGCCCAGAGATTGCCATCAGACAGAACGTGGCCCAGGTCCAAGAACTGGAGAACCTCCACGGGGAGCAGAAGATCGAAGCGGAGACGCGGGCTGTGTGACCTGTGCGGGACGGGGCGGGGAAGGTACGGCACAGAGCACGGCCAGGCTGGATGGGGCTTTTGAGCAACCTGGTCTGGTGGGAGGTGTCCCTGCCCTTGGCAGGGGGTGGAACTGGATGATCTTTAAGGTCCCTTCCAGCCCAAACCATTCTACGATTCTTTACGTCCGCGTGGGGATGGAAGGCTGGGGAGTCCTGAGGAGCCAACCCTCTTCTGCTGTCTGGTACGTGAGGGTGTGTGCAGCTCCCACCACCGCTCCTGGGGAAGGCAGGGCTCCTCCTCCGCCTCCTCCTCCGCCCTTTGATGTGGCTCTGAAGGCAGGGGTGGTGCTGGGCAAGGCTGGGAGAAGAGCAGCTTCCCTGGAACTCATCCCTGGGGAAGGCAGCAGCAGGAGGCAGCAGCCACACGTTACCGGGATGTTTCCAGCCCCTCTCCCTGCTGTTTGTCTGCCAGGACCCAGCGCTCCCAGCTTGTCCCCAGTGAACTGAGCCTCTGCTCCTCTGCAGGTTTTGCTTTTGGCACTTTTAAATTCAAATGTATAAAAGATAATGAACCGTTATTTATGTTTCCAGCGGGCAGTGTTGCAACTAGAGAAACCTGGTCTTTGAAGCTGACTAAGCCCCGAGGCCTCCCGGTGGTTCTGTGCTGGTGGTGGCAGCTCTCCCAACTTCCTTCTTGTGCTCTTTATCTAATTGTTGCAAATGCAGTTGCAATCAACGAAGCAATTTTGAAAGAGGCCATTTCTTTCTTCCCCAGCCCCTAAAGCCACCCCTTCCTGGTCCTCCAGATTATTATTTTTTTTTTTTTCTCCTCCTTGTATCTGATCTCATGTGTTCAGCACATTTTCAGAGAAAGCTGGAAGGTGAGTCCTTCCTCGTGGCAGCTTTGGAGGTTGCAGCCTCTGGGCATTCAGCTCACAGGGGTGGGACATGAGGATCTCATGTGTTCAGCACGTTCTCAGAGAAAGCTGGAAGGTGAGTCCTTCCTCGTGGCAGCTTTGGAGGTTGCAGCCTCTGGATGTTCAGCTCACAGGGGTGGGACATGAGCAGCTTCAGCTTAGAGCTGGGAACAGGCAGAAGCAGGAGAGCTCCAATGCAAGAATAAGGAGTCCTGGTCCATAACCCCATTCTCAGACTAAATTTAGACCTGTCAGGAGAAGCCAAGGGGACAGGAAGGACAAGGAGGACCCTGTTAGTTTGCCCGGAGCCTGTTCAGGTGGGTGACCCTTGGCCGGTGCCGGGGAAGGGCCCTGGCTGGGCAGAGCCTGGGCTGTTGAAGCAGCTTTTGAGGAATGAGCTGGTTTCTGCAAACAAGCCCCCACCTCCGTGCTGAGGTCACTCCAGCGTCTCAACACATCGTTAGTGTAATCAGTGGCTCATTTAATGAACAGAAATAATGTGCTCCCCAATCTACTGCTGGTGACGCAGCCACGGAGCATCCGAGCGCAGGCAGGGAGAGAGGCATGAGGACAAAAAAAGGCTAAACACCGCTTTTCTCAGCTATTCTTTAAAGTTCTTTGTTCATCTCATAAGCCAGAAAGGCAGCAGCGGAACCTTTGCAATCAGTGGAAGCAGAGCAAGGCAGAGGTGGCTTCTCACGGGCTGAGGAACCAAATGGTCTCTTCATGGTGCTGGAACCTGAATGATTCCACAGCATCTGCTCTGGCCTTGGTGGTACCAGACTCAGCCCGGGGCTGGGAGCAACTGAGCTCCTCCTGGGAGGGAGGGAACTGGGAAAGGCTGTTCTTTGACTTAGAAAGCAGGAAAGGCTGTCGGACGGGAGAATTTGGAAAGAAAAATGTGGCCTTCAGATTTTATTTTTGGTTTTTAGACCAAACGTTTGCTGCAAAGCGCATCTTCTTCCTTTAAAAATAACTGTCTGTACCTGGCTCAGCATGTTGGTTTTACTCTCCTGTTCATGGGATGTTGTACGTAACCAGCCCGGCCCGAGGGGAGGACGCGGGACGAGCCACCGTTGGGATTTCTCCTTGTTTGAAGCTGCCCCCCCCAGCCCTGCAGAGCCCGTGGGGCCGCGTGTCTGTGTGTGTCCGTGCCGTCCGGAGGATGCTGTACAGATTGTAATTAACACTCCTGTGCTTCAGTGTGAAATACCTTGTGCTGAAAACGTGTTCCAATAAATACCTGTGCATTCGAGGAGCTGCTGACTGGTGCCTGCCTGGGGCGGCCAGGGGGTCTCACGGCTTCCAGGGAGCTTATGGTGTTATTGAAAAAAAAATAATTGTAAAACAATTTAAAATATAAAAAAGTCCAAACTTCCTGCTGCCAAGAGGCCTTGCAGTAACAGATCCTTCCGAGCAGCAGGGAGTGGTGGTGCCCCAGGTCACACTGTGGGCGTTCAGGGGAGGGTGCTGGCTCCTTCAGTCTCTGCTCACAAAGACCTCATCTTTCCTTTACCCCATTTCAGCCCAGTTTCCCTCAAAAAGCCCGCGCCGTCCGGCAGCACGTGCTGCTCCTGACCATCCCAGCTCTGGAAGTGACTCGCAAGGAAGTAGCTGAAGTTTCCTAGAGCTGCTCTGGGTTTCTAGAAGAGTTTTCTGTCGCCTGTTGGTGGCCAAAAGGGCCTCACTGAGATGATCCACTTCCCTGGGAACACCCCCTCGAGAGCAGCTTTGCCCCGGGAGCTCTGTGCTCTCACCAGCCCCTGACCGCTGGCAATTAACGGAGCTGCTAAACGAGGCAGGGGCTGGAGGACGGACGGGTCCCTGCCAGAACAACAGACACGGCCCGGCTGAAGCCTGAAACACCCGCAGGGACCCAGATTGGGTTAAAAAGAACATGGAGCTGGTTCTTTAGCAACCTCAAGTCAAGCGCCAGAACTTGCATCTCGCAAACAAACGCCGTCACCGCAGCAACGGGAGAACAGCCCCAAACCCTCCACAGCAACAACCCCCAAACCCTCGGGGACAGACCGGACGCCCTCCCCCGGGGAGGGGATTAGGCAGCGTCTAGACAAACCTCTCAGCGCGGCTCTGGCAAAGCCATAATTGCGCTTTTTCTTACCCTCTGTCCGTTAAAAGCGCTCGGAGCTGCAGTTCTGCCTCTGTGTTTCGTTTGAAATCCGAGGGGGGTGTTGCTCTTCCCTCCCTCCCGCAGCCGGAGGCTCCGGTGTTCCTGAGCACGGGCTCAGACCCAGCTCCGGGACCCTTCACCGAGGGAAGCCACATTTCATGGCTGCCTCTCACCAAGAGCTTTTACAAATCATTCATTTCCCCCTCATTTTACCAGGTTGCAAGAAAGGGGAGATAAACGAAGCGCTCGAAGCTTTGGATGGATGGAGGTTACCTCGGTATTGGGATTATCTGCTCCCTCCTTCTGGTCTCCCAGGAGCACCGGGGGGTTCAGTTTCCAGGGATGGGGCAGCCACAGCTTCTCTGGGCAACCTGTTCCAGGCTCTCACCACCCTCACAGCAAAGAATTTCTTCCTGGTATCTAACCTAAATCTCCCCTTTTCCAATTTAAAGCCGTTCCCCCTTGTCCTGTCACTGTAGTTCCTGTGAGTCCCTCCCCAGCTCTCCTGCAGCCCCTTCCCACACCTGCAGGATTTCCTGGGCTCACAACAGCTTTAGTTTTAACGTGTAAACAATCAGCATCAGAAACACCTGCCAAGACTTCCCGACTCACCAGAGCAGTCCCGATGGGGTGACGAGGTACAACTCTGTTCCAGGAAGTATTTTCCCAAGTTTCCAGTTCTTGTGGCCTCCTCCTGAAGGACCCCCCGTCCTTCCCCAGTAAATCCACCACCCCAACCAGGACAGTCATTTCTCTTTCTCCTCAGACGACCAATTAAAGCAACATCTGAACCCAACCACCTCGTTGTCTCCTCAGTTCCAGCTGGGAAGGTAAAAGTTTGATACAGCTGTGTCTCAAAGTGACCAGATGGAACTGGCTGTGTGGGACAGGCAGAGCCAAACTCCAAATACCTGAAAGTTCCAGTATGAAATAATATGAAATAAAACCCCAAACCCCCCAAATTACCAGGAGTAAATATGTGCCATCCTCCATCTGAACACAGCAGCTGTGTGGGAGCACCCCACTGGGACGGGCTGTTTTGTTGTAACCTTTACAGCTGGAAGGAACCCCAAACCCCCCCCTAAAGCCAAGGGGAGGAACAAGGAGCAGGAGAGCAGCCCAGGGGAGTTTTGGGCCGTTTCTGGCTGAAACAGTGAGTCCCAGCTCAGTTCCCAGTCCCGACTGGAAGCGTCTGTGGGAAGGGAGGAACCTCCCTGGGAGCAACGGCCACAAAACCTCAGCAAAAGAGGAGCCCCAAGGAGATGCTGCCTCTTCTATTGGGACAGAGAAATGACAAAACCCTTTTTCTTCTTCTTTGGGTGATCAAAAGGGTCCAGTGAAACTGCAGATCTGGAATTAAACATTTATTTAAATACGTGGACGACTTTCCTTTCATCGTTACAAGGTCGATATTCGCTTTCAAATGGAAGCACTTTATTTGGTTGAATTCTGTCTCCAGAAATGAATGGGCAACACCAGAACCTTTTACATTGGCAATGAAATCACAACACGGAGATACCACCGAGATCTAGAGATCAGTGCTCAAACACACATACAAACACATATACAAATAAAAAAGTGCTCGACATCCTCATGTTAAAATAGAATTTGGCTTCTTTTAGGTCTTTTGACACTTCAGGCAGGAAAAAAAAAACCAAAACCAAAAAACCAAAGAACAATATGCATCAAACTAAATGAACTTCTGAAAAATATTCAGCATTAAACACAACTTTCAGTATCAGTAAATATGTTTCTTCTCTATTTACAGGTGTTAAGAAAGGGCATTAGAGACTTTTGCTGGGGATAATGACATGTTGTAGGACGTGCAGTTCACGCTTCTGGGCGAGATTAGTAAATTCAAGCCGAGTTTTTATAAACCAGTCGCATCTTTAGTCCTTCAGATTTTGCAAAAGGTAAATTCTACAAAAATTACTCCTTTGTTACCCTGAATGAAGGCAGCGGAATAAACAGGTGAAGGCTACAACACAGGGCCGGCGCTGGGTTCTTCTTGCAGTAAGTTTTAAGATCAGGGCTTTTGGGAACTAGTTGCCAAGTTTATAAAAACTCCGTGCATGGTCGTTTCATAAAACTTTTGAAGAAAATGAGTCAGCTAAAGCTAATGCTCCTTCTAAAGCGCTTTTCAGCAACACAGACATTGCAATTGTTCAAATGTTCCACAGAGGCTGACAATAATATACTGTCCACCTAGATTAAATATATAAAAGCAAACTTTTCTCTAATTTTTTACATAGATGGCACAACGACAGGTGAAAAGGAATTTTTCCAGCTGCTGATTCAAACAGTGCATCGCAACACGAGAATAAAAATACTGCAGCTAAAAACATTGTAAAGGTATTTTTGCACATCTGAGAGCCCCTTCACCACCGAGCTCCCCGGGAGGTGGATGCCACGAAGCCTCTGCCCAAATCTCACACAAAGCCACAGGCGCCCATGGGGTGGCTCACGTTCTGCTCTCGGATCTGAACAGTTAAGTGACACAGTAGCAGCAGTGATGAGGATGGTAATTTCATTAATTATGACCATTCTGACGCCGCCAAGGCTGGAGCTGAGCAGCCCCGGTGTTGGTATCTCCAGCTCCTTGAGCCACTTGGATTAGATTAAAAACCATAACTTTTTTTGCTGGTTGATGCCTGGAGGTATGAAGCACCGTAAATACACCAGCTACAGCACTACCTGTAGGACTGAGGGACTCGGTGCTGTCAAAAAATAAAAGTTGGTGTCTTGACTGGAGAGAAAGGGACGGAGAGATGAAGACAACATGTAGCCCAACTCAAAAACACACGTGGGGACGATGGAGACGGGCCCCAGCACGGAGAGAAGGTGGGTCCTGGACAGGTTTCTGCACCCCAGCCCCACACCAAAGCACAGCAGGCGGCAG